GCGTGTGTGTGAGTGTGCACAGGTGTGTGTGTGTGAGAGAGAGAGAGAGAGAGTGTGCATACATGAGGCAGTGACTGTGCTCTTCCTGAAATCTTTCTCTAGGGTGCAATACAGAGTTCACAGGTCAATCTGCTTTTTGTTTTCCAGTTGATCGCAACAGATGGAAACCAAGGTGCTGCTTGTCATTTTTCATTGTAATTTTATAAACAAGAGGTGAATAAACAGGCTTATGAAAGCCTCTAAGTATATATATATATATATATATATACAGTCGTGGTCAGAATTATTGGCACCCTTGGTAAATAAGGCTGTGAAAAAAAATCTGCATTGTTAATCATTTTGATCTTTTATTTAAAAAAATTCACAAAACTATTGTCTTAATAATTGTATTGGGTAACACTACTGTACTTTGCTATGCCCTCAGGTCCGTTCACTGCGGGGCCCGGTGCGACTGCACCAGTTTTTTTTTTTATCACAAAAATCTAACCTTTCATTGGATAATAAGAATTTAAAATGGGGGGAAATATCATGATGACATAAATGTTTTTCTCTAATACACATTGGACACAATTAACGGCACCCTTTTATTCAATGCTTTTTGAAACCTGCATTTGGCATAATAACAGCTCTGAGTTTTCTCCTTTAATGCCTGATGAGGTTAGAGAGCACCTGACAAGAGATCAGAGACAATTCCTTCATCCAGAATCTCTCCAGACCCTTCAGATTCCCAGCTCCATGATGGTGCTTCTCCTCTTCAGTTCACCACACTCATTTTCTATAGGGTTCAGGTCAGGGAACTGGAATGGCCATAGCAGAAGCTTGGTTTTGTGCCCAGTGACCCATTTTTGGATTATTGTCCGGTTGGAAGATCCAAACATGGCCCATTATAAGATTTCTAACAGAGTCAGTCACTTATTGATTTTTTATCTGTTGGTATTTGATAGAATCAAAGATGCCATTGTGTCTAAACAGGACCTCCAGCAGAAATATAGGCCCACAACATTAAAAATACAGCAGTATATTTCATTGATTTCATTGT